TTATTCCGTAAATTCAAATAATCTTTCATTTAGATCATACTAGATCTTATTTAAAAAATAATAATGAAATAAAAATCTGACCTGCTTCGTGAACGGCGTCTCAATATTCAAATACAGACAATCTTCTGAAACTTGCTGCACATCTGCTTGCATACACGACTTCGCCCAATCAACGGCTTTTATCTTTCCTTTCCACGGCTTTTGCTTTTCCGGAGGCTGAAAAAAAAAAAACAAAAAGAAATTTGAGAGCAAAAAACATGTTACGAAGAAAAAAATCAGAATGCGGGATGAAATCAGGGACAAAAGCACGTGAAACGAAACAATGAACATCACAAAGGAGCATTTCAGAACGTATTGGACCATTGAATGACCAGGCATCCAATATCCGTCATTCAGGTAGTTCCTATGCTATTCTTTTCTCTTTTTTTTCGAATAAAAAGTGCAGGACCAAGCATTCAAAAAAGCGAAAATGGTGTCGTATCAATTTGATTACCTTGTTATTCCAGTTTTAAAAATGTACAGGACTAGTTTTTTTTTGGAGTGACCAGCAGGCGGAGTTGAAAATGGCTCTTTCACGAATCGATTAAGTTCTGAAGACCTAAGACGCTTTCCTTTCCATCTTCTAAAGCTAAAACAATTATATTTTAAAAGTGTGCCGTCATTGGTTCAAGGAAAGATCCTTTTCATTGTAGAATTATCACAACTCAGTCAATTTTCTTTTTGTCGAAGAAATATACTGTGTTAGGCAAGAAAATTATTGATGTAATTAAGCAAATATAATTTTTCGGTTTCAAGTTCGCATGCATCCAAGTACAATCAGCACGAGCTCTTCTTTTTTTACTGTGTCCTGAAACTCCTGATACTCCTGAAATATATGCGAGACAATTCGAAATTAATTTTATCAAATGTCATGGAAAAGTTCAGAGTATACTTTTTTATTGGAGAAAAGTGCTGGGAATATTTAAATTGAGCTGATTATATGTGGCTTGAGCATGAGCCATTCTTCAACTTTTCCTAGCACAAAATGAACAAAAGGATGAACGATCAAGTTGATTCAGTACATATGCTCTTGGCTGGCCTCCGTGAAATGTTATTGGTTCATATTTTTACAGCTTGAGCGACTTCATTTCTGCTATACTACAGCTAAAACCAGAAGTTGTGGGAAAATGCTTGTGAATTATCGGATTTAGCTTTCCTTGATCAATCAATTTGATCGATCTTCCGATCGTTCATAAAAACTATATTCTTAAAAATACAATTTCAAAAACTTCTGGAAATTAGAAAAAAAAAAACCAACATCCCCAAGAGGGTAAAAATTCTCGGAAAGCGCCAGCAAACAAGATTACGACGAATTAAATCAGAAAATCCGAGGATCGAACAGGTAAGTAACGGGGGGCTTCGCAATTCAATTTAATCAACGTCCGGATGTTAGTTTTATGTTTTCCTGAAACAAAAACAAGACCAAAAAAAGAAGCAAGGATGAAGCTCGTCAATATCTTGCTGATATTGAATTACGGAACGAGGGATCAAGGGCGTTTTATCGGCACAGTGGGCGGAAGCTACACCGGTGTCAAATAAATCAAGGAAGCTCGGACTGATTGCGTCGATTCCGTCTTCTCTGGTTAGAGCTTTAGAGATTTTGACCCCGTTTATGTTGGGTTCACACAGAAAATGGTAACAAAATCAGAAATTTCCTGATAATAAAAAGAATATTGTAGATCAGAGAGAATTCGACGGCGTACACCGGGAAGCTTGGTCATGTCACCGGCAGGATTTTAAAGTGTATTTTCGCAGCCTTTGAAACATGAAAAGAATGTGTTGAAAACTCCTACAGTAAACTGGCTGATTGAAGTGAAACTCGTAGAAATGATGTAGGAGTTTTGCATGATGACTAAATTTTAGCAAATAAAAGGACGCCATCATCATAACTGCAAGATTGTCTATAAAAACCTCTTCAACTTCGCTAGAAAGTACGTAGCTATACTCTTACTATACGTGATGGAATTTAAGAACGTGAAATTTTAGAACGTGATGAAATTTAAATGATTGTGCTGGTCATACATGTGAATTCAAAACAAAAACGAATTACAATATAACGATAAAAAGAAAATTAACAAGACATTTGTCCATGCATCATAATATCTGAGTCTGAGATTAAAGTTTTACTCACTATATAGCTGCTTTTGGTGGAAAATTTGACAGCTTTTCAAGATTTTTCATTTCTTTTTCAATGAAATCTTAGAATATTCGTGAAACTTCAAATGCAGAGGCACCTTAAAACAAAAATGAATACTCATTTTGGATTTTTTTAATGACACAAATTGAACCATTTCCCGTAGAATAAACAAACCCGCATTTCCAAGAAAAAATTTAAGAACAGAAACTTCCCTGTATATAAGCATTGAACTTGGGTTTTATGCATGCATAATATTGAGTCATCATAAAGGACGTTTAAATGTATTCATTTTGAGTGTGTCTGTGTTTTTTATAGTTTGCAAGTTCTTTCGGTGTTATTCTCCGGGTTATTAGATACTGCGCAAATCGCGACCAAATCATATATACACACAGGAAGCACTTGAAACTGAT